AGCTATTTAATAATATCAGTATTCCAGAAGAATTGAAAAGTGATAACCAGATATTTAAATATATTATGAGTTCAAGAGAAGACGTACTAATAAGACAAGTTGGTGAATACTTATACAAAATATTTGAAATCAGAAATATCAATAACTGACATTTTACTTTAATTTTATATGTATTGTACTTTATTACTAACATTTTATTGCTGTTCAACCAATGGAAATTATTTCTAAGGATGCAATAAATTCATTATTATTATTATTGTAGAATCATGGAGCTATTGTCCCATGAAATAGCATTCTTTTGTGTTAGTGACGTATTTTGAGAAACGTTATATTTTCCAAAAATGGCTATTTTTAGGACAATTCCATAGAGCACAATGTTAAAAACAAATTGTACTTTTTAAAATTCAGATTATTGAAATAATTGAGGACAACAAAAAGTACCCCATCATTTACAATTTGAGATATGGCATAATACCTGTGCCACAGGAACCTATGGTAAAAGTGTTATAAAAGTCAAAATGGCCACATCCACTAAAATTCAACCATCATTTTCTCGAAAATTAAGCTGCTGACCCCCAACTTTTTTTATCTCAATATTTTATTATTTGAAAATGAAATAAATTCTGGATATTTTTGTTTACGAGTAGGCTTCTACCGTAAGGTCTATTTTGTCTAATGTCAGCACTAATGATAGTACATGTATATGGGGGTCACATGATCAAGTATATGTAAATTTACATAGGGGTTGATTTGCATATTGGATTTTATAAACTTTAGCATGTCTATATGCTAGTATTGTGTATCAATCTTTTCACTTCTGAATAATCCGCATTAGCCAATCATATGGAAGTTTGTAGCAAAAAAAACTACAAATGACTAAAATATGCAACAATCATTTCTATTGGCCAATCAGGTGTGACCATACACTTTGTTTACGCATACTTTGAACATAACTGGATCCATTTTGCAAAACATTACTGAGACAATAAAAATATACAAAAGACTGAACACCTCAGTTCGTGAACAAAACAATTTTATCAGACCCTCTGGTGTTGATTTCATTGTATTATTAATTTTAATAATGTTACATTGAGTAATAAAAGTTTTAAATATTCTTGTATCCAACATTGTGATCATAGTTTATTTCTCTGGTGACTAAACAACAACTTTTTTTAGCTCTGCTGTCATCGCACGTGGCAGAGTGAAGCTGTTCATATAGCTGATCGTATGTCATTCGTCAACAATTGCATTTTCAACTTTTTCTTGAAAACTGCCAGCTTAATTGCTTTGATACTTGGTATGTAGATACCCTGGGTGGACCTCTGTCAGATTTGTACATTTTGTGACGATATCTTCAATTCACTTTTTTTGGCAAATACTTTTGTCATTTTTGTTAAAAAATGTTAATTTTCAACCTACATGTACTACTACAATCTCTCATCCTGGTGTAAAGCAGGCCAGGTCGAACACTAGCCTCATGTGAAAGTATCCAAGGTATCCCCCAAAGTTAAATCTGTAAGTGTATGGAACTCAGGCCAAAAGCTATGTAGCAGCTTTGTTCAGGTAAAGGTTAAATCTCTTTTTAGTGTTTAATCATAGATCCAGAGTAACAACTCCTAGCCTATCAGTGATCAAAATCTATATTAAGTTAACCTGTTTATTTCATGTGAGTAAATACTGTATTGTTTATGTGGGGCTGGTAAGATACATGTATGGTTGCTGTCAACATCTTAATGCAAAGGAAAAATATTAAACACAATAGCAACCCAGTAGAACATAATACCACTACATAAATAGATCAGAATCCAGACATTAATCTGGGCATGCATTAAATTTTCGGTAAATATTGTGTGAATAGTTACGATTGTCATGATCCAAATTACATGTATCATACTTGTGGCAAGTTGTACTAATGTATACTGTGAAAGGATTAATTATTCACTGGGTTTTAATTTTGCTTATTTTGCTGACTGGAAAATTCGCTAAATTAAAACCCAGTGATTATGTAAAATTGAGCATAGAACACATTATCTAAATGATAAAACTGTGAATTTAAATTCCACTGAATATGCCTGAAATGGTAAATCAGTGAAATTTAAACCCAGTGAAAATTAGTCATTTCACAGTAGCTGTTCATTTGCACTGTGCAGTATGACCAGCTGTTGCTGTCGACATCATCGTAAATCTGAATTGCAAACATTCATGAAAACTCTTCACATTTGCATCCAGTCATGGAAACAGCAAAAGTTAATATAGTGCCCTCTACAATTATAACCACATTGTTTTTTAAAATGACACATTAATATTTTTCCAAAAATTAATTAATATTTCTTTATTCTTTCGCAAAAAAAAAGTACCGACACATAAATACTGCAATTCTAAAAGTTTGTAGTCTGCTGTAGTTTAGTGTGTATGTCTTGTTTGCTTAAACTTTCAAACACAACCAGTAAGCTTTTATTTTCATGAGTTTGGGCCTACAGTTGGTTTCACATAATTATAAGCAAGACCCCCTCACTACTTTCTGCAGTTGTTACATGACCTCTAACAGCTATAATTTCCAACAACTGTTTTTGAAATTCAATAAATGCATTATTTTCGGGGAAAATGAGAAAATTCTTGTTAAAAATGCATTTATTCACCCAAAAAGTACCAGAATGTGTGACTTTAAGGGTCAGAAAGTACCAGGATGTATGACCTTTAAGGGTCAGAAAGTACCAGGATGTATGACCTTTAAGGGTCAGAAAGTACCAGGATGTAAGACCTTTAAGGATCAGAAATTACCAGGATGTATGACCTTTAAGGGTCAGAAAGTACCATGATGTATGACCTTTAAGGGTCAGAAATTACCAGGATGTATGACCTTTAAGGGTCAGAAAGTACCAGGATGTATGACCTTTGAGGAGCCCGATCATGCATAAGACATGTAGAAAAATTACATTTTAGTTCAAAGTAGCATTATTGCCATGGTAACTGCTAGACTGAGACTAAACGCTTGCATTTTTATCAAGCTATTAAAACTGATATGGACATACATATATCAAGATATTTAATTTATGACAACAAATACATTTCTAGATCAAGATACTCTGGAATATGAAAGCCACAGTTATTAACACATAGCCCACTGATACTGTCATACACCAGTCATTTCAGCTCCCAGTATATCTATATAGGTTGTCAGCTGGTGATGTGTTAGGCTGTACAAATACTATCTAATCAGTGTGTCTTCAAACAGTACAGAAATGGTTTGTAGATGAAAAAGGACAGTATCAGTACATCAAGGAATTGTGATTTTCAGTACAGAGACTTCACCATATAGGGTCCTTGAAGCTCGTATCCAAGTTTACGATAATAGTCCCTTGTACCAACACCTGTAGTAGATATAAAAACAGTACAAGGTTAGAATGACGATATTGACAATACTGTAGAATATTTTATTTTCGCTGGAATTAATTTTCGCTGAAAAGGCTTTTTGGGTGTTTTGTATGGAATTTATTTTCACTGATTTCTGAAGAGTTTAATGTGAAATATAGGAAAAAAAGTATATTCGCTGGATTTTATTTTCACAGGGTCATCCCTTCAGCGAAAATAGCGAAAATAAATTCCAAGCGAAAATAAAGTATTCTACAGTATTGCAAAGTACTGTAAAACCGTTTATTTTCACTGACATTCAATTTCACTATTTTGAGCATATTCACTGTGTTTCAATTTCACAAATTTTTTAAGGAAACAATGTTATTTAATTGTTATTTAATTTAGTGGATTTTACTTATCAATTAAAAGGGCATCCTCCAGTTAAGCCTAATATAACAACAAATTTACTTTCTAGATTAAAATTACAATGGATAACAAAACATACATTAACATCGTAAACAACATAAACAATAGTGTCCCATGATTCTTTGGTGCAATCCCTGGGCTTGAAAGCTTCCCCTTTAATGCATTTACAGTACACGCACTTCATAGTTTGACGAGACTGATATATACTAACAGTAATACTACTTTTTGGCTCATCGCTATTGTTCCAACAATTCACTAAACCTTGATAGCAAACGTTTTTTGTTCAGCATTTACTAGGAGAGTACACTTTATTATCCATTCACTGGGGCTGCAAGAAAACCCCTAAAACTTGATTAACTTGCAGGATTACTTTGTTAAAGTATAGCAACACAGGGTCTTGGTTCTAGTTACTAGAACATCAACCACAAAAAGGCTGTTAACTACCATTAGTGTCTCCGTAGCCGTACTTAACTATCAGTAAATATCAAATGTACAGTGTACAACACACATTTTTAATCTTAATGAAGGAATTTACAAAACAATACTACAACATTTTCTGTAATTATTAAGGTAGCGAGAAGGGTTTTGTGACGTTTTCGAATAAAACATTCTCTGTCTGTTGTCTTGTTCAGAACAGTAATTTAGCTTATATATTTCAAAAGACTAAGTATAGAGGTACAAGTTCGCACAAACTGGACAGTCATTGTTTACATAATTATCACGTGACATCAAAAATGGCGAATCTTGTAAAAATGACTAAGTCCTCGATTGCGAGAGCACACTGCGGAATTTCCTGCTGAAATTTACGCCATGCATTGT